ATACCCCCGTATGAATATACGCCAGTAACCGACCACTCCTAGAAACTGCCGCACCTCGGTTGGGCTATGTAACGGTGAGGGCCAGTTCAGAAGTTTGTCTAACTTCGCCGGATCTGCTCGGCGTCCTCTCGAGTCACAGATAAAACCCAAGATCTTAATAGTCGAGACGGCCCATCGGCTCTTGGTTCCGCTGACTGTTAAATTCGCATCGTCCAGCTGCTCGAGTACCGCGCAAATATCTGTTCGGTGCTGCTCGACGAATCTTCTAACTCCAGGTATAACCTCTGTCTCATCCCTGTCTACTGGCTATTTTATAGGAAAGTCATCCAGAAAAACTTCAACCTTATCAGGGATGAAGTCCTTGAGGACGGCTACCATGGCTCTCTGAAAAACGGCTAACCCATTAGTCCAACCCATAGGGACAACCATCATTTGAATTAGTCTCAATGGCGTATGCATAGCCGTGAGGTGTCTGTCTCTAGGATCTAGCGGTACCTCATCATAGCCTGAGAACAGATCACAGACCGAATAGATCGACCTACCTGCTGCGCCTTCTGCCAGTAAATCGGCGTGTGGCACGGAGCCCACGTCTCGTATCGTCACCGCGTTGACCTTCTGAAGGTCCTGGATCCATCGGATCTTGCCATTCGGCTTTCGTAGGAAGAACCATCGATTTGCATAAGCGCTATCAGACGGCTCCGCAACGTGGGAAACCATCTTCTCTTTCAGGAAAGCGATAACTTCTTCCTTCTCCTTCTGGGCGTATTTCCATCCCACGTCGTTCCAGGGAATATGTGGTATCGTGTAAATCCTTGTTGGCTTAGCGTATCGAGGGTCAATCCTACTGCGCTCCGTGTCGCTTAAAGCTATGGCTTTATCACATGTCTTAAGAATTTCTATCACACGCCCTCGCTCCTGTGGGGTCAGATTTCCATCTCCGATGTCCATCCCTGCTATTCTCTCTTCTGTTAGGCRTTGTGGCTCCTTTTTCTTTCTTTCTTTGATTTCTTTCGCGATCTCTTCTTCTGATACCCCTTCCAGTGCCGATCGCTCGCGGCCCACCGCCGCTGGCTTAACTTTTTAAGCTACTCGCTTGTGTCGCTTGGGTAGCCCCCCATAGGGGGCCGTGCCCTTAAAAAAGACACGGATACCACACCGCCAAATTCCTCATCTTTTTCCTTTGGTTACGAGTTGCCGTCCACTATTAACCGACTTCCTAAATCTTCCACCTCCACGATCCGACCTTCTTCCTCTGTGAGCAGTGGTCCATATCTCTTCTCGCGAAATCGCACGGCGCGGCCGGAGATAGGTAACGACTTAATCTGATCACTGGGTCTCGCACCCACAGCGAGAGCTGCTCTGTTCCTCGGATTCCAAGGCTCCACTGTCTCAATCATTACCCGCGTCCCGTCTGGTTTCCTAATGGACAATGTTTGGCTCCCATCAGGTCGCTCTATTGTCACCGCATGCACGTGGCTCAGCCACGTTCGACCCAGGAGCAGGTCGGAGCTGCAGTTTTTGACTGCAAAGACAGGCAGGGTCACTCTTATCCCTTGGACCTCTATGGCTGCCTTGTGACAAACCCCAGTGATCTGTTGCTTTCTCCCATCAGCCGTCTCTATCTCGAATAGGTATGACCTATTGAGGCCCAGTCCAACTTGTACTGCCAGGTCCTCGTCTATGATGACAGCCTCACTGCCGTTATCAATCACAGCATCGAGTATCGCTCCATTGTTTATAATCGTCTCCACGGCCCCGCTACCAAGTATATAAAACTTGTCTGGAGGCACACCTTCCATCCCATCTAGAAGGACTGTCGCCATGCGATCCGCTCTGGCAGTCACCCCCGTTACAGCTACTGTAGAAGTTTCCACTTTAGGGGCCCCCTGACCCTCCTCTGATAGAGGTATGCGAGTCTTCCGCGTGATCATCTGTAATTCATCACGAGCCGGCTTCGATGCCGCCAGGTACTCCAGAATAGAACACTGCATTGGTCGCCGAAGGGCCCGCCTCAGTGGCTCAACCGTGTCAATCCCGTCCAGCGAACTCTTCATTAAGAACTTCTTCACTCCCCTCTTTCGCGGCGAAAGGATAACCTCCTCTCCATCGACCCGCTGCCCGTCCTTCTCCGTTATCACGTAATCCGTGTCARTCTTCTTCGATGTAGACCCTCTTGCCGACTTGGTGGCTGCCACCCTTATGGGTGTGGTCGCGATATCCCCCTCAAAGATTATCTTGATGCTCTGGCTCCTGATCGACTCCATTCCTTTACTCGTCTTTATTCTCCTTGCTTCGACATTCTCCTTCATCGAAGGAAACATCGATACATCTCCCAGATCATCTGCCCACTTGACGTACTTGCGGTCGTCAAGCACGACAAGTCCCTCATCTATTGCCCGTTTGAGGTCCGGGCAATCCCTCTTGATATGATCTTCTCCTCTACAATGGACGCATGAGTTCCTGGGAGTAGATGGCCTGTCGTCTGCGCCTCTAGAGATCGAACTTCTGGCCACCTTGGGGTCAGGCGACTTAGGATATGGTTATGATGAGACGCCATATCCCCCTCTCTCATTCCGTCCGCGCGAATCGTTGCGCCGGTCTCCTCCAGACCCTCCTTGCTCATACCGCCCTCGCGAATCATTCCAGCGGTCCCCCGAGTCATATCGTCCTCGTGACTCATCGCGTCAGTCCCCTCGGTTGAACCATCCCCGCGACTCGTCGCGCTGCTCTCTCGCATCTCCCCCGCGCTCAAACCGTCCGCGTGACCCATCTTGTCGTTCCCACCGATCTCCTCTCTCATATCTACTTCCTCTGTAGCCATCTCGACCCGGCCTCTCGTATCTGTCGTCCCTATATCCATCTCGGTCCGATCTCTCGTATCTGTCGTCCCTATATCCATCTCGTCGGCCCTGTTCTGTCTCCCATCGGCCGCGGGAGTCGCCTCTACCCCGATCGGCCTCATAGCGAGGGCTTCGCTGGTAATCATCTAGCCTCCTTGCTCGCACAAACAGCTCGCGTTCCCTGTGGTCTCGGTCTATCTCATCGTCCCTACGTCGCCATGATTCATCGTCTCTCTCTCTTCCCCTCGTACTATAATCAGTCAGCGTCCGAGGATTTCTATCCTCGACACTCCTCCAGGGATCGTTGTTCCTACGGTCCCAGCGAAGCGAATAAGACCCTCCAGGTTTGTCCCGGTAGGCCGTGGCCCCTGTGGCGGTCACAATCTCTGTAACCTGTCTCGTTAATCCCTTCACCATGTCCCGTATCTCCTTCACTTCCTCAGCCACAGCCTCATTCTTCTCTGACCAGGGATAATCCTTGAAATCATGACATCTATCAGTGGCATACTCCTTGTAGAGAGAGAAGTCACGTCTCCTTATCCCTTTCCACACCAAGTCCTTGTAATCGTCTGCCTCTGCCTTTATCGCGAGCTTTAGGACTTCTGGGAAATCAAGCCTGTCGCGCGGAAGATCTCTAAGTATACTCTTTTGCCTACCTTTGGACAAGTGTCCGATGAAGATAGTACAGCGCTCGACCTCTGAGATCTTCCCCTTCTTCATCAGCACGTCGGAGATCTTTTGGAAACGCATCCCAAATGCCCGTACGCTCTCATCTTCATCTTGAGTCATTGTTTCAAGGTCCTTGATGGAATACTTGTTATCCTCTAATTTGTAAAGCTCAACGAGGTTCTCTTTTCCAGATATTCTGTGATACCATAGCCCCTGAAGGTAGGAGGCTCTGAGACCTTGTGCGTAATAATATAGCGGTCCTTGCTCTCGTAAGGGAGCGGATGTGACTCCCCTGTCTGGGGGTCGAAGACTCGCCTGGGCGGCGCCCTGTCTCTATCTCTGTCCCTCCAATAGGAATCCCTCAAATTCTCTCTCCAGTCGTCTCTGTACCTGTCCGCTATGGTGTCCCTCCGCTCGTACTCGGGGGAGCGCCGCCTCGTCGCTTCTCGTCGTCCGCTCGAGGTACCCGTCTTTAGAGCCTCCTGCGGCTTTGTCGCAACTGGTTCGCCTCTCATGTCGGGACCTCCGTCATTGGTTTGGCCAACCCATCTCAGCGGTGCTTCTTGCCTAATTCGTTCCTTCAGATCCCTCAGTGCTCGATCGGGCGATGCCCTGTACTCCTCTCCCGCTTCGCCCGTGGTCGGTTGTGGCCCCATCGTGTCGGGTTCCATTGGACCGCCAGAAAATGCAGTTAGGTATTCTAGCCAACTGTTACAGCCCGACCCTATGACAGTCGCGGCAGCCCGGACCTGTTTCTTTGTCACGACTCGCGTCCGCCTCCAATCTTAGCTCTCGACTGCCTTGACTACCATCTCCAGTATCCCGTACCGGTTGTAGATCTCGTGTTCTCTCTCTATCCCAAGAATCCCTATGTCTAAGTAACCTTTCCTTCGGGATCGGTCAACAAGGCCGAGCCTGTCCGGATCCACAGTACGTCCGTGACAGGACCTCTATCCTTGAGACAGATTGCAATCCCAAACCTAGCCAATGTCTCCTGATCAACACTCCTCAAGAGTCCCCGAGCGTCTCTCTCTGTCCTCCTTGCTAGTTCTCCTAGCCCTGTCTGAATCAGTTAGCCCGCTAAAGGCCCTCCTACTGTCGCACAATGTCGCCCATCGACCTTTCTAGCTTCCTCTATCCTTCCAAGAGCTTCCAATTTCTATTTCCACTACCTTATCTCCTCAACGGTTATGAGGTCATCTGTCTAACAGCTGAGATAAGTTAGTGCTATAACGACTTGTAACCTCATCGCCGACCGCTCCAATATGTCATAAAATGTCTCAAAGTCTTMWTTATYTCCTCCTTCGTCTATCGCCTCTAAAGTCTTTATCGTTTCCTTCCAGTACCGGTTGTGAGCGGCTAACACCCTGAGTATTGCACCATCTKTTACAACTCTCCCTAACTCTCCAGCTTTCCTGGCTTCGCTTATCTTCAACCTCTCAGCCTCTCTGGTCGTCTCGTACCATGCCCTTATCCGAGACCGCCCTTTGAAGGGTGTTACTCGGAGTACGTATTTTATCCTCCGTCCTCCTTCTATTCCAATCCAAAGTCCTGTCCCCCTTGCCTCACGCAGGGCACGGCGGAAACACTCTGCCTCCTCAACTATGCACAGTCTGGTATGGAGCTGGAGCTCTATGATCACTAACACTAATGGTCCGTCCAGTCTCCCTACCACATGTAATGAGTACCGATCCGTCGTGTGTAGTGCAGTTCCGCTCATGTCCTTTCGCTACTCCCCTGCGTTACTTTGTCTTTCGTTGTCTCGCTCTCCGCAGATCGTTTACTAGTTTCTTCGCGAGATACGCTTGTAGCCTTTACCCTCTCCAGAAAGTCTGATCTCTCTCCTCTTCTATACTCAGTCCACATCTTTCTCCAGCTCACCCTCTCACCCTCGCTCTAGCCTCCTCTACCGTCTCATCATCGTAGTGCTCCCCGCGCATATAAACATGAGACCATATCATCACATCATAGGAAATCGAGGTCAGGAAGGTCACTCGCGCCAGTACATCAGCTCTACGCTCGTGGATCAAATACCTAGCTCGTTGTCTGCACTCACTCGCCGTCAAGTCCTCGTCTACGTACGCTCGGAGAAGTACTGTCGCAGTGTATCCTGTGCTTACTAGTTGCTCTTCTACACGCATCACCGTGCCCGTCCTTCCCGACATTCCCTAAGCTGCGACCTCGAAGAGAAATCTCGCGTCCTCTAACCCCGCGTAATCGATCTCTGCCCGTCTCCTGCAGTACCTTATCAGATCGATAGGCCTCAGACAGTCCACCCAGCTCGTAACGTCTATGATGTCGTCAAGCGTCTCTCTACTGGGCGGCCCCCACCTCACACAAATGGCGTAGTATACTTCCTTGAAGCGGGG